CCCCGCCGCCGCCGCCGCCGCCATGGCCCGGCCGCTGGTGCCCAGCTCGCAGAAGGCGCTGCTGCTCGAGCTCAAGGGGCTGCAGGAGGAGCCGGTGGAGGGCTTCCGGGTGACCCTGGTGGACGAGGGTGACCTGTACAACTGGGAGGTGGCCATCTTCGGGCCCCCCAACACCTACTACGAGGGCGGCTACTTCAAGGTGAGCCGGCGGCTCGCGGTCCCGGTTCCCGTCAGGCCCCTCTCCTCTCGGTGGCCCCCCTCTGTCCGTCCGGCCCCTGTGAAGCAGCTGCAGGCCCCCGCTTTCGCAGCCAGCCTCCGAGACCCCTAGAGAGGAGCCCCGGGGGCGCTGCCTGTTGGTTTGGGTGTGGGGCTCTTGCTTGCCTCGGCCCGACCCAGGCCCTCCGCTGACTTCCCCGCCCCCTGCCCGGAGGAGACAAAGAGCTTCCCCAGACCCAGCAAGCCCTATTGTTGGGGAGCACGGGGTTGGGGGAGAGAGGGAGGGAGGCCAGCCTGGTGGGGGGGGCTGCCCCGCCGCTTGCTGGGGCTCCAACAAAGGCCCGGATGGGGCCCTGCCAGCTGGGGCTGCTTGGAAAGCGGCCACCCTTCTCGACAGCAGCGGGCCAGGCCCTCTTGGCTCCATCCGAGCTTTATGTAACCTGTTCTCGCGGGAAGGTTGAGGCTTCTCACCACCACCGCCCACTTTGTCTGGAGAGCCACACCGCAGAGAGCGACTGCCGGTCCTGGGCCCCTCTCTCACCCCAACTGGCCTTTCCCCGGTTCCGCCGCCAAGCAGATGGCCTCTTGGAGCTCGATCTCACCCTCTGGGTCGTTTTTTCTGTCCTCTGGTAGTTTCGTCCAGAGCAGTTCTCTTTTGTTGTTGCTGGGAGCAGGGAGGGGGTGCTGTCCCTGGGACTGGCTGTTTCTGACTAGTGTGACAAGGGACTTGAGCCAGGACCCAGGCAGCTTTCTTGGCCTCACCGTCAGAGCCCGGACGTGGCCTTGGAAGGACTCTTCTCAGATTGCAGGGCTTCGCTCTTTGAGCCACAGGCACAGGGCCCGGGTCTCTCTGCATGAGAGGTGGGGAATGAGCCCTCAGCCTAGGAACACCCCCCCCACCCCACCCCACCCCCACCCCTGCCTGCCTGCCAAGAGGCTGCACAGCCCTGCCAGGTTCTGCCTGGCTGAGGCCTGGGTGGGGAGCAGGAACCACAGCTAGACCAGGCTGTGGGGGAGGGGCAGGTGATGCTCCCAGGACAGATGTCTGTGTTTGCACTTTGGCTAATGTTTCAGTTGAGCCTGCTCAGTGGCCGTGAGGGAGCAGCCTGGTCAGCTGGGGGTGATTCCTGAGTTGAGGTTCCCTTGGTGCTGCGTTGGGATCGGGATGAGTGTGGGCAGCCCTGGGCTGGCTTCCGCATCAGGAACCCGGCCTCTGACACGCAGGGAATGGATTTGGGGTTGATCGCCTAACGGTTTAACTAGGGCCCTCTCCCGGCCTCTTTTGTCTGCTTCGGGCTGTAAGGAGAAGGGCTCCACTCACAGCCAGGATGATGGAGTCCCACCCTGAGACCAGGCAGGGCAGGACTCTAAGTGAGCTTGCAGGTCTGGAAGGAAAGGATGTGGGTTTCTGACTTTTGCCCACTAATGGTTGCAGGGATTGTGGGTAGATCCTCCAGGCTGGCATTGGGGGGATCATCCCATGTTTCTAGAGAAGGAACTGCCAGATTCCAAACACATCTGCCACAGGTCCTGTCCTCCACGAAGCCAGCGTGGCCCTAGGGTGGTCACCCACTGAGGTCCTCCTGTCTAGGTGGGACTGGGCGGGGAGAGGAAGTGTGGAAGTGCACACTGGGAAGCCCCTGAGGGCCATCATCACTTCCCAGCCAGTTCCCACAGCGTCTTCCTTGCCAGCTTGGCCATCTAAGCCATAGTGAGCTTTCAGGCAATGCAATGTACAGAAGGGGGTGCCAGAGAGGAGCAGTTGAGGAGCCTCCTCCCAGCTTACCCGCTGTGTGTCCTTGGGCAAGGTACTTTTCTTCTCTGAGCCTCGGGTTGGCTCCGTGGTGAAGTCCTGTCCAGGGATGCTTGAAACAGTATGCGGTGGGACTTGGTGGGTGTTGGGTGCCGGGGAGGGCTCAGCAGGCTGCACCTGTTCTCAGGGCCATCACTTAGAAATCTGTAGGGCAGGTTCCGAGTTCTAGGTTTGCTCTGCAGTCACCAGCAAGTTACCTACCTTCTGGGCCTCAGCATGGTCACCCCAGAACAGAGGGACTTCCCCTAAATGCCCTGAATGCGCCCTGCCCAGGAGGGTCACTTTCCAAAGATGGGCCTAGGGGAGTTGCAGCACAGGTGCCCAGCTCTGGCTGCCGGCACACAGGCTAGGCCCTGAGAGCCTGGAGTGCCGCCAGGCATCCTGATGTCTGGGACTGGGGCTTAAACAAGCAAATGAAGCTTCTTTACCTGCTGAGGCCTGAGCAGCTCTGTCACCTGGGCAGGTGGCCCTCCCCATCTGTCCCATGACCTTCCTGTCTGCCTTCCTGGCCCCCCGTAATGGACACTTGTGGGCAGAGAGCCTGTCCATCCAGCACTGACTCATCTCCTCCCACAGGGCCCGGCCCACAGAGGTGTCGGGAGTGATTGCTGAGTGAACACACGTCTGTTTTAATCTCCCCCACTACCTGGAAACTGAGGCTGGGGAGTCCACCACCGACCGTGCTGGGGGTGCACAGTGTCCAGGGCCCTGCCAGCCCGGAGCTACGTGCTGGCCTGAACCCACCGTGCTCCCTGGGGCCCAGCTCCTGGTCCCTCCCACAGGTCTGCGCTAAGACTGGCCTTAGAGTTGCTCCTCAGCAGCAGGGTAGGGGCCCAGATCAGCTCAGATGACCCCAGATAGTCCTAGGAGCCCTTTGAGAGGCATGTGTGACAGGCATGTGTCCAGGCGGCCCTCTTGTGGTGGGGGTGTCTGATCCTGATTGACATCCTTGTTTGAGTGTTCATGGCCACGGTCCCCAAGCACTGGCTGAGCCCTCCTGCCCTCTGCCCCTCCCCAGGCACGCCTCAAGTTCCCCATCGACTATCCGTACTCCCCACCGGCCTTCCGATTCCTGACCAAGATGTGGCACCCCAACATCTATGAGGTGAGTCCACCAGGCATGCCCCTCCCAGCCTCTCCATATTGGGGCCGGGGGGCGGGGGGAGACCCTGCGCTGCCTGATGAGAGTGGGGAGTGGTGTGAGCACTGATCCCTCTTTCCTGTCCCCACACAGACGGGGGACGTATGCATCTCCATCCTCCACCCCCCAGTCGATGACCCCCAGAGTGGGGAGCTGCCCTCAGAGCGGTGGAACCCCACCCAGAACGTCAGGTGAGACTAGACCGGGCCCTGTTTGAGGGGCTGCTCAGCAGATGGACCCTGTCCCCCAGCAGCATTCCTGACTTGGCTCCTATGGGGCTTCCTGAGGCCTGGCCAGGCCTGGAGACAGAGATATGGGAGGACACCTGTCTTGCTCTCAGGGACACGATTGATTCCCTGCAGTACTGTGAAGTCCATGCAAGCTAGCCTCCCGCCAGGATGCTGGGGCCCCAAAGACCCTCTCCTCTCATTTCCTAATAGCCCATGCCCCACCATCGGGAACAGCCACTGGGAATCTCGAGTCCATATTTTCTCTCCCACAGTCCCTCTGCCTGTCCCTGGGGTCTCTCCTCCTGCCTCAGTCCCCTCCATCTCAGGACTGAGCCGTTCACCCTGAGTGGGCCGGCCTCCCTGCCTTCTGGCCTGCACATCTTTAGTCCAGCCCGAGCCATAAAAGTTGGTGGGACGGAGGGACCCACTTGCCTACAGGATGTCTTGGGGACAAGGACATGTGGAACGAAGGTGGTCCTGGCTTCAGCTGCCCACACATGTCTTGTCCCAGGGCCTGGGCCAGCGGGCGGGGTGGAGGGGGGGATGGGCTAGGAGTCGGCCCCTGCCATCCTAGAGGCCTGAGACAAAAACCAGCAGCACCAAATGTCGCCTGCAGGGTTGGGGGCCATGGGGGCCCCTGGGCGGATGCTGGCCTCTGGGTATCTCCACGAATGCTGTGGCACTAGGCCCAGCTCCTTGGGGGATGGTGTGGCCAGAGAGCACCCTGCACCTGCTGACTCCACGCTTCCCCAGGACCATCCTGCTGAGCGTCATCTCGCTCCTCAACGAACCTAACACCTTCTCCCCGGCCAATGTGGATGCCTCTGTGATGTACAGGAAGTGGAAAGAGAGCAAAGGCAAGGACCGGGAGTACACGGACATCATCAGGTGAGGCCCTCGCGCCTGGGGTGTACTCACGGGCAGTGGTCCCAGGAGGGAGACCCGGTCAATGGGGGGTGGCCAACCAGGGTCAGGCCAATGCACTGGGTGTCCCCACCCCGCTTTTTGTAAGAAAATAGGTGTTATTTCTCTCTGTCACACTGTGAGGTGCCCCAGTCCTGGAAGCACGTGGTCTGTGTGTCTATCACGTGTGTGTAGCTTATTGCATCTGAACCGTGTGAAATGGGGGTGTCTGTGCCTTCCAAGTACACGTGGTCAGGCCTAATGGCGTGCGCGTTCTCCATCCCCCGAGCATCCACCGCCAAGCTTGAACAAGGTCTTACCGCGGTGCCTTCGTTTCGTGACTGAAACACGGTGACACTCGGCGATACTTGGGGTCTTACCCCCTCCTGGGCAGCCTGGCCTCCTGCTCACCCCATGATAAGTATCCAGCAGGTGGGAGGTGCTCCATAACAAGTCCTTCCCGGACCGGCTCCTGCCCTCGACTTTGTTTCATGCTTTCTTTTCTGGGGGGAATTTATTTTTCACATATCACACTGTATCTTTTCCACATCATGATCTGCTGTGAACATCACTTGCATTTATAATTTTGAAACTTAGAATCATTTCCTAAAGACAGAAAATGATCACAATACTGGTGTGTTTAGAAAATCACTTTTTTTCTAAAAAATAGTCTTTTTCTTGGTTTTTCAAGCAGTGTGTCGTGTAGGGATTGGCCAGAACTAACCATCCAGCTCTCGTTTTGGTCGTTTCCAGTGCTCCCTGCTTAGGAATAAGTGGGTGACCATCCCTGGAAAGAAATCCTTTTACAGAACGAATGCTGCGCGGTGCTGGTGCCGGACCAGGGTGGAAACGTGCTTTAAGGCCCAGGGTAGACAAGCTGTCCGCTCAGGCCCCAGAGCTGCTTGACCTGCTTTTCTCTCCCTTGTTCTGTTGCATTGTGTGAGCTGCTCTGTGTCCATTGTCCATTGTTATTTTGTAATGTGGTTTACAGATTTGTTCATGACCAACTTAACCCTTCATTAGGTTTTTTCCAAAAACTCTCTGTTGTTTACCTTTTACCTAGAAGGATGCGTAAGGTCTGCATGTAGCTGCAGTACAACCCCACCATTAGAGGTCTAAGTACCCCAGAGAAGTGGGGACAGTGACCACACCAGCATCCACACGAATGTTCAGAATGTTGGCTTCAGCTGGCAACAACTCTGGTGTACGTCCGCGCGGCATCGAAGGGCACGTCTGTGGCTGTCGGGGCGGCAGGACTTAAGAGGCACAGCAGGACCTCCGGGGTGAGGGGGTGGTGTCACGGGACATACGTGGCTCAGAAGTCACCGCTGTGCACTTTAATCTGGCATAGTTCATGCAGATAAAGCTACAGAAGCTCACGTTGGGTGAGGAGGTGATGTGTTCGTGACAGAGAAATGAATGTTCAAGGAGAAACGAAAAGGAAGCTCTGTGATCTTCCTAGGTCACCTGACAGTTACTGTTTTTGTGTGGCCTTGCAGATACCCGCATGAACCACCGCTCCTGAGACTTCCCCGCGGCCTGGCCTTCCGTGGCGGCTGCTCTGCCTGACCTTGGAGGCCCGTCCGCACTGGCGGGCCTCACACACACACACACACACACACACACACACACACACTCACACACACACACACACACACACTCCTCCCCCACTCGTCAGTGCTCCTGTTGTCCGTGGCCCCCCGGTTCCCTGTACTCCAGGTGCACTAACCCTTTGTGCTGATTTTAGCTCCCTCTTCTCAGGGTGAAACCACGTCCAGTTTCTTCTATGGGTCCGGCCCGTTTTTGCTGGTTCTGTAGCGATTTATGTGAGCAGAATCTGAACAATTTCTGTAATATTGCTTGTGTGACCCGAGTGCATTTTACCCCCCCGACACCACGCACACAGCCCCAAGGTGATTCCAGTGCCTGCAGAGCGGCCCCTTTCCACATTTCCTTGTCCCCGGTTGTCCCAGGAAGCCTGTCCCCTGAGGCTGGGTGGTCACGGCTTTTGGTTTGTGCGGATGAGGAGCAGCAGAGCTGGCTGTTGCCGCAGGGAATGCGTGTCCCCAGAGTTGCGCTGTGAGCCTCAGGCTCTGCCCTGCGGGACCCTCCCGGTGGGGCTCAGCACCTGGGGAGGGTCCTGCCCACACGGCCCGCTCCGCGCCCCAGTTCTTTTCCCGGCCACCTCCCACGTGGCACCAGAATTAAAACCAGACTGTTTTTATCCTTTAAGACACTCCCTGTGGGGCCGCTCACATGCGCCCACGTGAGGGAGGCTGTGATGCGTGCTTCTGCCCACCCCACACCCTCCCCGCCAAGCCGTGTTCCCCACACGCTCTGCCGGTGGGTGCGTTTAGAGGACGCGTTGTCTGGGGTCCTGCCGAGTGTCCGTTCCGGGTGTGCTTTGTGCTGGGACGTCGGGCTCTAGGTGGGAGCACCCCCACCTCGGGAGCCGGGCTGTGCTCGGTATGAGTCTCCAGAGAGCCGTGCGCTGTGCCGGGTGTGAGCCCTTGGCGTCCGCAGCCCCGTTTTCCTCTTAGTGTGGGCCGTGCTTGTCCGTGCCCTCCCCCGCAACCAGCCCGTCCCCCCGTGTGTGTGGTGGGCGCCACGCTGGCCCAGGCACCGAACACAAGAGCAGGGAGTCCCGGCTGGAGTCCTAGCCCTGCCGCCCCGGCTGCCGAATCTGCTGTCTCGGGCAGGGCTGACCGTGTCCCGCGCGTGCGTGGCCAAACACCTCACAGAACCGCTCGTCTCTGGTCCTCGGGGTCCCCCGCGCCGTGGGCCCTGCTCTGCCTGGCCCTTCCCTGGGGCACCTCAGCTGCTCTGGGCTGGCTCCTGGCGTGGGACCCCGGCAGGGACAGAGCCGTAACCCGCAGGCCCTCTCTCCCCCAGGAAGCAGGTCCTGGGAACCAAGGTGGATGCAGAGCGGGACGGCGTGAAGGTGCCCACCACGCTGGCCGAGTACTGTGTGAAGACCAAGGCCCCGGCGCCTGACGAGGGCTCGGACCTCTTCTACGACGACTACTACGAGGACGGCGAGCCCGAGGCCGAGGCCGACAGCTGCTTCGGGGATGACGACGACGACTCTGGCAACGAGGAGTCCTGACACCGCGACCCTGAGAATAAACTTACAGATTTTACCTCAGCAGGCCCGGACTGTGTGGCGCCGAGACTGCCTCGCGGGAGGGGTGCTGCCTGGCCCCTCGGGTGGTCTCCTCGGGGGTCGCCCTCCTCCCCCGCGTGTGTCCTGGGTCCTCTGCTTCCGAGGGGAGGGCCGCCCGCCCTGTCCTCCCTCCCTGGGCGGCGGGGGCCTGAGGGACCCGGACCCCCCGCTTCTCCGCGGCTCCTGCTGGCTGGAGCCAGAGACTTGGGCTCCCAGCTCGTGTGTGGACGGATTCACTTGTGGTCACCTCTTCTCTCTGCTTTGGTTTGTTTGGAATCTAAATAAAACGACTTTATGAGAAGCTAGAGAACCAAGCTCTTCTTGGCCTCCCCAAAGGACTGCAGAGAACGGTTTGTCACCAGGCCCCTGGATGCCCACAGTGCCCACGTGCCTGTGACCCTTCATGCCAGGCGCAGGGGCTGGGGTGCCTGCAAGCGCCCCAGGAGATGTGGCGGGGGCACTGCAGGGATCTGGGGTCTGGGCAGAAGGATGCCATTGTGTTAACAGACGCCCTGGCCACCTGGGGCCAGACACCTGTTAGCTGGCCCGTGCCCACCCCACAGGGCCTCGGGGTGGTAAGTCTTCTCCATGCTGACCCTCGGGCCCCTGGCGGCCCCTCTGCAGCCACGGGACCCCCAAGGGGTCCTACCTACATCATGCTGCTGTCACCTAGGCCTTGTGGCTTCATTTTCATGTAACTGACAAGTCCAGAGTGGCCCAAGTTCAGGATCAGATGGTGTCATTGGGACGAGGTCCCCCATGGGTCAGACGGGTACATGCCCGGCCTGAGCAGGCACCACAGCTGGGCCTGGCTGACCCCATGCAGCAGGGGGATGGGCAGAAGGGGCCAGGCCGTCCAGGGTGAACCTGGTCAGACCCCCACGGAGGCCTGCGCACCAGGGCCTCTCCCGTGCCCCACCAGTGCCCTCAGTCCTGTGAACACAGCTGTCTGTGAGCCTCCATGGTCTGGTGGCTTCCTGACATGGAAGGTTTCACACACTCATTTTAGTTTCTGGCTTTTCTTCAACCCAGAGGGCTGGAAGTGCCGGACCGGCGAGGGGCCCCTCTGGACGGGACTCGCAGCTGGTGTTCTCAGCTGACGTGAGTGGTCTGGCCTGTGACAGCCACACCTGTTCCCCTCCCCCCGCTCCTAGTTTGGGCCTCGGGGCACCGGGGTTTCCAGATCGTGAGTGGGGGCTGGGGCTGGGTTTTCCGTGAACCCACTGTGTGGCTGGCACCCTGCACTAGGGGACCCTGGTGCCAGTCAGGAAGGGGATGGGCACAGTGGGGTGGCTTGTCCCTGCTCCGCCCTGTCTGGGTGGCCCAGAGGTGTCTTCAGCGTCCTCCCCTGGGCTCCGCGGACCTGGCGCCCCTGGGTGCCCGCCTCCCCCCACTGCTTGGGCTTCCTCACGGCATGGTGGCTCGGACTCCAGGATGAGGGGCCGCAAGCAAGGCCATTTCCACCCATGCGGACGTCACAACACCATTTCTGCACAAGATCGGACACAGGTGTGCATGAGCCCAGCCAGACCGGAAAGGAGGGGACCCGGACCCCACCTCTTGATGGGAGTCGTGTTCCCCCTCGGACCATCCCCCACACAACTGCCTCACACCCCAGATCTGACTGTGGTGTCTGAGGCCTCAGTTCAAATCCTGTAACCTGTCCGTGGACAAGCGGCATCAACGACCCTCAGCATTGGAAGCTGCAAGAGAAAGGCAATTAGAGTTGCCCAGTTATGTATAAAGTTCAGATAAATCGTTCTTACTGTATATATATGATACAGTATATATATGTATCCTGTGCAATATTTGGGGCATACTTTTCTTACTAAGACAGTGTTTGTCGATCTGAAATTCCAAGTGCTCTCTGTCTAGATGCTCGGTGAGGGCCTACGTCCTGGGGTGGTTACAGTTAAACTAGATAGGACATGTGAACACACTTTAAATACTAATTTCTCTTGAACTCATCCCTGGCCTGACACACCCTCCTGGGTGAAGACAGGACTCCTGGCCTCCCTTGCCAGACGAGAAAATGGGTGGTAATGTGTTTCCAGAGTCCCCACACCTGGGTGAGTTCATCGGTCTGTGTGATCAATTGGTTTTAGCCACCTCTCCTTTATAATGACCCCTTCAGTGGCAAAGGGCAAAATTGACTCAAGCCAACTGGAATTTCACTGCTTCTATGAGTGAAAGGCCATGGTTTCAGGCATAGCTGGATCCAGGCACGGGTTCTCTCCAGGCTCTGTCTCCCCTGGCCTGTGGTCAGCAGAGTAACAGCTCCAAAGACGTCCATGCCCTACTCCCGGAATCTGTCTCTGAGAATTAGAAAAGGCAAGGAAGGGGTTCTGCCCTGGAGTCTCTGGAGGAGCCAGCCCTGCCCACGGCAGGACTCTGGCCGTCTGAGGCCCGTTTCCTCCCTCTGGTCCCCAGCACTGTGGAAGGATGAGCTTGTGTGGTCTCAGGCGCTGAATGTGCGCTAAGTTGCTAATCCGGGACAGCTGCACAGCTCAGCTTTCTCTGAGTGACCCTCCTCCTCAGGGGGCTCCTCTCCCCTTGGGACCAGCCAGGCGGACACCCTAATCACTCCACGTCCAGCAGAGTAAGAGCTGCTTTGGAAAGTTCATGCAAGAGGTCAGACGCCCTGAGCACCATGGCGACCCCACTTCCCCTCTGCCGGCCCTGGGGGCCTGTGCACAGGTGAGAGCCAGAGCGCGATGGCAACTGTCCCGCCCATCAACCCGAACCTCCCAGGAAGTGGGGAGGTCATGTCAGGGCTCCGGGGCCTCTCGCCGCTGTGGTAGGAAGGTCATGGCAGGGCATGGGGCACCCAGCCCTAACCTGGCTCTCCCCAGGAGGCGACAACGCTTAGAGATTCACATCACTGGGTCATAAGCATGCCCCCCGCTCCTTGCCCTCATGTGGTCTGCACCTGTGTGGGGCCGTGGGTGCAGGCCTTGTACACCCACCGCGGGTGCTGACGGCTGCCTGGGCAGCCGTGAGGGACCCCGCCCTGCTCTGCCCCCTCTGTCACCCCAAGGGGGTGGGTAGGTCCTTAGAGATGTAGGCTGGTCGTGGGGCCGTGGGAGGCCGGGGGGATCCCTGGGGAAGGGCTACTGACTACGACAAAGTGCCTTTCTGCTGGACAGAGCTGGGTCTCTTGTGACACCTGGCCACGGGGCTAGAGCTGGCCCACGAGGGTGGCACGGTCATCACCAGCAGGAACCTGGCCCTTGATGCCCTGGTGGAGCCACCACATAAACCCATCCTGGAGCTGGCTGGCCATAAAGGCCCCAGATGAAGCTGGTGAGGTGACCGAAGGGGATCTTTCATTGCTTCAGGTGCTCACATGGGGCCCTCAGGGGCCTGCCTGCCTCTCAGCTCTGCTGTCTTGCCCCTTAGCCACATGATCAGGAAGACTTCCCCACATGGTGGAAGGACGGGCACCCTGGGCCCCGTGGAAAGAGCTTCTCTACATTTACAAGGATCAGTGCTGATGGGCCCAGCCTCTGAACCAGTCACTGGGTTGCAGGGGCTGCAGCCAGGGGCTTGGCATTTTTGGACCCACGTTCTGGAGTCTGGGGCAGCGGTGGGAACAGAGGAGGACTGGCCAGAGAGGAGCCAGTGGAGGGGCCATGGCTCACACCCTGACCCCGCTGCCCACACGACATAGCCGCTGAGGCTGGTGCAGGGGCTCCCACGCTTGGAGACCCCAGCCTTCTGCATCAGGGCAGTTGCCCAGCATCCCACACGTAAGCTGGCCCCTAGTCTGGAGAACCATCTCCGGATGCTCAAGGTGCTGGGGGCAGCCGGGAGGAGTAATAGCTTGCACCCCAGGCCCCCATCCTCCACTGCTCCCCTCCCTGCACCCCTCCACTGACCTACCCCTTCCTGTCACCTGCAGCAGGAACCCCAGCTCCTGGCCTGTCTCCGGTGGCAGCACCAACATGGTGCAGCATGGCGGGCTGGGGCTGACCCACTGGCCAGGGCACTTCGGGAGCTGGACCTGCAGATGCTGGACATACAAACCTGCAACAAGGCTCACTTCTGGCCCGGCTACATCACTCCCTGCAAGGTGCAGGAGCACCAGTGGGGAGGGCTGGGGCAGCCTGGCCTGGCAGCAGGACATCAGCCCGTGGTGGGGGCCACCAGACAACCCCCCTATTTTCCTTTCTCTGGGTGGTCCTGGAGGTGGACACTGGCATTAGCCCATTTCTCAGATGCAGAAACTGAGGCACAGAGAGGTTAAGTAAGCTGCCCAGAGTCACACAGGCCATGGTGAAGCTGGGGTTTGAACTCTAGTGCCAGTGATCGGAGCACGGATGCAGCATGTGCAAAGGCCCTGGAACAGGAAGGAGCAGCAAAGCGTGTCAGAAGGGCATGAAGGAAGGATGTAGGGAGTCATGGGACAGGCCCCTGTGGCCATGGGGGCTGGGTCTGTGCCCCGGAGTCAGGGCCCCTCCAGCGGGCACAGGGGGTGATCTGTGTTCCGTAGCTTCTGGCAGGGAACTCGGGGGCCCTGGTGTAGGGCAGAGGTCAGCTGGCTAGAATTCTGTCCGGCGGCTCTAAGGTCAAACCTCCCAGGCCCCTGCTGTGGCCCCTCGTGCCCTGTCTCAGGTTGCTAGCCACTGTGGCCCCTGCCTCAGACCTGGCACCCTGGGGATGACCCTACTCCCTTGCCTGGCAGAACCCTCCCCTGCAGGATTGTGGGGAGGGGAAAAGGGGATGGGTTGTAATAAACCATATGGACCTGTGTGGACTCTGACCCCACTTCTGTTCCACACAGGCCAGTTTCCCTACTGAAGAAGCAGGTTGCACTTTTAAGGCTGTTCGTGGAGTCCAGCTAAAGTCAAGGACCAGCTTCGCCCAAGACAGGCTCCAGGCAGGGGGCCCCAGGGGCCGGGGCAGAGGTGTGTCAGCCGGTGCTGGGCCCGGGGCAGCCACTGCGTTGTGCAGGCCTGCAGGGAGGCGGGGCGCTGGGGTGTGGGGTGCAGAGACACTGAACAGCGATACTCCAGTATCATCATCTTCCTCTTATTTTTTTGGTAACATCTTTATTGAGATACAATTCACACGCTCGCTGCAGACGTGCCTAATTCAGGGGGTGTTAGTACATTCACAGGGTTGTGCAACCAGCACCTCTAGAACGTTCCATCACCTTAGAAGGAAACCCCGTCTCCATCAGCTGTCACCTCTCCCCGCCCTCCCCAGCCCCCGCCCCCAAGAGCCCCCTTCCCGTCCACGGATGAGCCCGTTCTGGACGTGTCACCCACGTGGACTCACACCCCATGTGGCCTTCCGTGTCTGG